ACAAATAGTGGGATTGACCGTCACATTATAATGCCCCCCACAGCTGAAAGGGCGAGCGTGTTTGGTGTGACAGGGATTTGAACCCACGACCCGCAGAGTCCAAGTCGAGCACCCTAACCACCTGGCCATGCCAGGCCCACTTACTCACTTATTTCTAGAACAAGGGCAATATTTTCAGCAAATATGGTGAATTTCCTAAAATAGGAATGTAAGAGGAACTGATTTATAAAAATGATACTTCCATGTAAACTGCTCAAAACAATTTAACAGAAAATCACAATTTTCCATATTTTAGCTAGGACAAGGTGCAACTATTGTCTTCAAATACTGTCGCTGGCACCTCCTGATCTCAGTGGTATATAAAAGGGTGTGTTCTCAACAGTTTTAACAAAAATGGTATGTAAAAAAGATCTAAATCGACAGTGAAACATGCCAGGATCCTAATAAAGCTGATTAAATCTACTTTATTGCAGAGTGGCTACAAACATCATGAAGTGTGATTAGCAGGATGTGGACACACTTTCAGACAACCAATATAGTTGCCCAGAGGCCTGGACTGTGTACAGCATTATCAACAGTCCCACAAGGTAACTGCTATTTGACAGTATGAGCTCCGTGCAAATTGTTAAATTTAGTTTTTCAACTGAATCAACAGTTCAGAGTTACAACAGGACAATAAGTCAACAAGCAAATAGTCAGAAGCAAGTTTCATAAGGTTAGCCTTTACGGCAAATAACAAATGGTGTGCATTCTTCTAATCTATTATTACAAACGACCCATCTTCATTAAAATCAAGAACACATGGAGTGGTGAAATGACACGTGGGAAAATGTCTTGTTCAAAGGGAAATCAAGTTACACACTGAAATCAGATACAAGATGTATTGGAAAAAGTGGCCTTGGACTAGATTCATTCAAAATTTTACAGAAGACACTTGTGATAGTAGTGGAAGAAGAGGGATTTAGCAAATGGACTGTTTAGCATGATCACTGGATTTTAATTTGATTGAATACATTAGGGAAGATAATTAGTATCATGTGATTATCTTCCAAGCAGTGTTGATGAACTGGGAGCAATTCTCATAATGGAGTATGCCATATCAACCGAAAAGTTCATTGAATCACTTATTTTAAGAATACTGTATTGATGTATCTCTTGTATTAGCATCCAAGGTGATCATAGACCTTATTAACAAACTTTTTTCATTGTACCCCTCCTTACATATTTCTACATGTAAAAAACAAGGAGCTGAGAATCCCTAAAGATTCCAGCTAGTACAAATAGTAGTACTGACAGCAACACTTGAACAGACATTGTCTGGTTTGCCTAAGGAGACATCAAAATCAATAAGGTCTTAAAACTTCCAATAAAAATGTACTAATGAGTCTTTTGGTTTACGAAAGACAAAGATGGTTTAATGAGCTGTAAGTATGTGAAGAGGCATGAGTTGAAATACATGTCCAATGACCAGACTTGTGACAGACAGCAAGAATTACCAACACAGTGCCCTGATCCAGCACCAAGCAAGTAAAGAACAATTGAATATAGAATATTGAAAAGCCCAATTATATCTTAGCTATTTTGAGCAATGTCTTTGGCCTAACGTTTGAAACACGGGGTTGGGAATTAGGACTATAAACTAATAAAACCTAAGTGATTATTTAGGCTTTCAAAACTGTATGGAATATTTTGTTAATTTCCAGCTAACAAAGAGTCTAGAAGATAAGAACTGTGTCAAAGTCAAGCCTTGAGGGATAATAAGTAAAGAATAACAGGGAAATTAAAACCAAACTTATTAACTTACATATATGTATAATCACTTACATCAGAAAAAGTTAGCTCATAGTTGTACTTACCCTACCACTGCATTTCCACCCAGTTCCAGTGCTTTAAGTCCAATTTTTCTTTGTACTTCTCCTATTACAATTTAGATGAACAAAGTCAAATCTTCAGTCATTCAATAAATGCTTTCATTTTAACATACTGATAAAGAAGAAAACTATAAAAGGATTATTTCATACAGATTGGTTTCAAAATATTTCATATTTCTGTAACCTGGACATCATAGCAAATATACGAATACCATAAATTTATACCTTCTAAAATATATACTTCTCAATTCTATAAGAATATGACCAAATGTTACTTAACGCTATAAAAAGGTTTACTTTATATTTGAAGCATTGATAAAATCCACATCTATTGTTGGAAACTAAGCAATAATCTGAAAGCCAATAATTTTTAAAACATGTAATTACATAAGAATCTAGACAATATTAAACTATAAGTTCTTCCAACACTAGTGATGGAACAGTTTAAAAAACAATAACAAAAATTAAATTAATAAACAGTTTTAAAAGGGATGTCTATAAATATGTATTATAGCTAGTTAATACCAAATTTAAGTCTGAAAAAAGGGTCAAAATAAAAATGGAATACCATGAAAAACTTTGTTTTAAACAAGAGGTAAATGTATAGTAATTATCAATTAAATGTCCTGTGGAAAACAATGTGTATTATTAAGAATTATAACTTAATGTTTATTATTATTATTAGAAAGTTTCAAAATGAGTACCTGACAATTTTGAAAACAGTGTTTGTCTAGTTTCGTTGGATGCTCTTGGTGTGCGTATTTTATCAATCCACTGATATTCAGGATCATCATTAACAACTAGCTCCTCTACAAATCCAAGAATAACTTGAGCTTGATACCCATGAGGGATTCTGGGACCTATCCAAACAAAAAGCATAATACCGGTTACAATAAAACACATAATTATACATTCTATATGTACATACTGTACAATGTCATTGCTCATATTATAAAACCTCATATTACCTTATAAGTATTTAAACAAAAGAAAATATATAACCTATATTATCCAAGTTTGTTTGATCAATTAATGTATACAAGTTAGAAAGGTGAGAAAATACTTTTAAAAATTCAGAAGAATTCCCTTCCTTTATTACCAAAGTTTCATCATTAGCTTCTGTTTCAAAACACTTACAGAACTATCAGCTCTTTGCTTTTAATTCAGTTGACTAAACAATTCTTAAGGTAATGAAAAAGCCAAAATAAAGTAAGTGAAATTTTACAATTCTTTCAGTTATATATCTTCTAGCTATGTCTCAGTTTACAGTTTCATCTGACTACAAAGTTGTAGATTACTGACAACGAATGTTTGATAAAAAAATAAATATTAGAATTCTATAATAATCATTTGTTCTTTGATCAAGATACACTCATGACTGATACTCATTATTAACCATTTCCAGCCTGGTATCTCTTCTTCTTTTTCATATGAGAACAAATGACATTAACCCTTCAGTAGATTATGTTGAGCAAGTGATTCCAAAGTAAACATTAGGATTTCCATGCTATAAGTTTTAATATGTTTTATGTATCTTCAAGAAATTTTCCAAGCTTCTAGTAAGTGTTACAAGTTTTCTGTAGACAAAAAATCAGAATTTTGAATTAAGTATTTTTACTAAAAATTTTTCCACAAATATATGGAGTCAGAGTGTTGAATGCTCTGAATGCAAATGGATTTTCATGTTAGGATTAAAAATACGTTTCTTCATATGAAAATTTTCAAATTTCACTTGTGTAATTTCTAAAACCTCATAAATAAATTTCAAACGTTGTTTTCAATAAAACTTTACATTTTATCTGTTATTTTCTCTACCCCAACTCTATACAGGGTCAGTTAATTTAACTGACCTCATAACCACCATAAAACTTTAAATAAAGGTTGAAAAATGCAAAATAAAGTGAGTAGTACTGTTCTACCTTTTTTAGTATGGAACACAAGACACAGTTCCAAAGTACTTCTCCTGAGAGTTTCTATTTTTAACTTTTTCACATCTATTATATATGTTTATTTTACCATTAGCAGCTGAAGTATAAACCTGCTGAACAAAAAGCAATAAATCAATTCTCCTGCCATTAGACTGTTTACATGACACCATCAATAGCAAATAAGCTCATGTGGTGCAATTACCAGGACTTTCCCACATAATTTATTGTAATCAAGGCTCTGAGAACACAGTGGGAGAGGATTTAAAAACTTGTTTACAGTACAGTGACTGCAACAAGAATTGTCTAAAGTAATAAAAGTGGGAGAAAATGTTTATGATATAACTCTGTACAATATCTGGGTCAATCCAATAAACTTAATAGGTATTTGAATGCTAGTTATCCTCAGGGGGCAGTCAGAATTTAATGGTATAGATGTACAAAGTGTATACATGCTTATGAACATGAATATATATTATTACTATTTACTTACAAATGCTTAATTTTTAGTATTTTTCTTAAAAAAATGAACAACAAACTAAAAATATATAGAAAACCAATACCTTCTAGTAATTACGATGTTAAGAAATGGTTATCAAGCTTTGTATTTGAAATGTCAATTACAGATATGCTGACATTAATGAGTTAAGTTTATGAATGCAAAAGCAGAAATGGCAATATACTGCCAACAAACTTGCAAGGGTTAAAACTATGAAAATTATTATAAGTAGTTCTTTCATTATTCTGAAATAATGTTTTTTATGCAGTTTGATTAATTAAACGTTTTAATACTCATATGAAAAAAAGGACATTATTTAGTGACTTGTTAAAAAAAGAATACTAATTTCCTTTAATAGCCAAATTCACAAAGTTAGAACTTACAGAGACATAACCCAATTATAATTAATAAACACGTACAGTGCCATTCGACTGTTTGATTGGGGATTCTGCACAAAGCTACACAAGAGTTATCAGTGCGTAACTTTTGAAGTTATACACTAAAGCAAAGGCAGCTAGTAAACAGTATCTACTGTTTCTAGAGATATCTAGGGATACTTTTGTCTGACCAATAGTAGGATTTGACCATCACTCATATAACACACCCCAAGAAGTATAGAGCACATAACTGCAACTATGGGATGCAAATTATGAACCCTCAGATTCACAGTTTAGTGACACTAACCTCTAGGCCATGCTCGGTCTATTAGAAGACAGTAACATCTAATAGGGACTAAATGTATGGAAAAAGAGTGGAAATAAAAGCCAATAACTGTATAACATGCACAAAAAATGTTGCTCATAACCTTTCTTTGGATTTGTTTATTTTTCACAAACCCTAAAAAAATACTACCAAAGAAAAATTAAATATATTACTGAACTGAGGAAAACAAGGCAATTGTATGTTTCACAGATACATTATTTATTCACAACTATGATTTTACCAGTAAAGGCATCATCAGGTACAGATATGAAATAAAAAGCAATCTTTATTGTTTAACTAACTGTATAATGGATGTATGGCAGATATTCACATGTTGGAAAATTGGTTTTTAAATCAAGTGAAAACAATAATGTATATTTTATCTTCATTAAAGAACTACAATATGATGGATGAAAACCATTTCAAATATTGTAGCAGTAGTCAATTAACATGTCTTGGGTGACTGTCTTTTGTAATATATTAGAGCTAATGACATTAGAAAATTTCAAACCTCATATAAGAGGTACGGAAGTTTACTTACTATAGAAAAAATGCACACCACAGGAAGACTCGCGATATTTGTTTGTATCACTAAACAAATCCACTTTAACTGCCATGTTAACTTCTCCTCGAATACCTAAACAAATAAAAATCCACATCTTAGTTGATAATGTATTATGGTTATTAAAAAATTAGCTATGTGTTACCATTGATCAGAAGAGTAAATACTTGAAATATTTTTAAACAGAAGCTGGGAATTTTAGGCATCTATTACGTATTCAACATCACTGTCATGTAGCAGCACAACCTTTATCTCAACTTGCATACAAGATCTGTTTCTTTATATTCTAATACAGTGTCACTATGTTTAATTGCATATAAACAAATAAGATTATATTCAACTAACTTTCTTTAATATGTAGAAAGAACAAGCTTTTCAAAACACATTGGTAATTTTACTTATCATCCTACGATGAAAACTGGGCAAATGCATTATAGAAATAAAAAAACCTATTCACAGACATTTCTTCATGATACTAAAAAAATATACAGAATTAAAAATAAAATGAATCATGAAATAAAAAGTCTGATAACCTGATTCATCCCTCAAATAGGAAGATTCAACTTTCCAAAAGTGCTCACGTTATCAGGTTTCTTGCTTTGTGATTCAAAGACACTATTTATATTCATTGCCATTAATACACACATAATACATTTAATCTTAGAAAAAACAACAATAACAAAGAATCACCATTCTCAGACAAGGCCAAATCTTTAAAAAATCTTGTAATATGAGTAGTATGAACTGAAAAATTCCTGAGAACATACTTCAATAAAATATCTTTCAGTAAGCAGATGAAAAACTGTTTTTTCACAGGCAAGACATGAGTAAATAAAAACAAAAAAAACTTGCAAAAGTTGAAATGTCATAAATATAATAATATAGTTTGTTTGTTTTTTTATCTACCCACTTTAGACTGCATCATTGAAATATATTTGAGCCATGGGTACACGTGAAAAATTTTGGGTTTATGAAAAGAAATATAACAAGATCCCCTCTCTTAAATCAAGAAAATTAGTCTATTCATGCAGTATTACACTATGATTTTGAATAGTAAGAAGACTCAAACTGATAATCTTCTTCAAATTAAAAATTTAAATGATAGGAGTTTTTACTTAATCTTTCAATAACAGCAAATATTACACTACTAGCAAAAACAATAGAAAGTCTTAGGATAATCAGCATAATAGACACTGATGTAACTTATATGATTGGTGTGTTTTAATATCAGAAAAGATAAAATTACATCAATTTATAATTCATCTTTTGTTTCTTAACCTTTTATGTAAGTTTCAGAATTTGTAGCTATAAAGCTCAAAAACAAAAAACACAAAAGTTAATTATTTAATTAATTAAAAGTTTTAATTTCTTTAAAAACTATATACTGCAACAACATATGAAATGTAAACAAATGCAAAAAAAAATCATTTTCAGTTCCTTTTAGCTGATAAGTTATTTTCTTGAGAGTGACTTATTTTGTAATTACAGTAACCTCTTTATTTAGACAAGGTCATTTTTTCATTAATTAATTTGATCTACCATATCTGATTGGATTGTCCTTCATGAATGATGCTTTTTTTTTAAAAAACTTTGTTTTGTTTTTTATTTGGTCTTATCATAACTAATTCAGTTGATCAACCTGTCAAATTATTATTTAATTCCTTAAAAAAGAAAAATTATACTTTCAATATATTACAAAATACCACACAAAATAAATCTCAAAATCTTCCTTTAAGTACATATCTCACTTCAACATTATGAATATTTTTGTGATTTTTAACCAAACTATCAATGGTATCTCCAAACATGGTATTTATTTCTCTGGCTTTGAAAACAGTATGAAAGTTAGTTTCACTTTGGGGTTGAATAACATTTCTTAATGAATATAAATTTTTACATTTTACATTTTTCAATGCTTTCTGTTTCTTATAAGGTTTTAATTTTCCCAAAGAAAATAATCAATATTGTTTTAAAATAAACACTAATACAATAATAATAGGAAAATTGAAATGACCACCAAACTCATAACAATGGGAAAACAAACAAAATGCAGAGCATGTTTTTGCAACAATGGGACACAAACTATGAACTCTTGGATTCACAGTCTTACGTACTGGGCAAACCTGGCCTTTATGGTGATAAAGAGTTTAAAATGCAGGCAGAAGCAGTAGCAAAGGGGAGGGACACAAATGACTGTCAAAAACTTAAGAGAAATGAAAAAATGAATAAAGAGATCCTTCTGGGACATATCTAGATACCCTCAAAAATTTCATGGTAGTCAGAGATTGAGAAGTTGGAAAATATTTGTTACAGATAGACTACCAAACACAAATCACTTTATAGTACAGATGAAAAATATAACATAAATGTATATAAATTATATACCATTTATTTTTAATTAAACCTTTTAAGTTACTGAAATGACAGAAACTATTTTATGGTATCTGTTAAACTTACCATGCATGGTATCATAGATTGGATACCATCCTGACAAAAAACCTGACTGTTTGTACAACAAGGGGTTCAAATTGACATACACCTTTCCTATTGCATCATTAGCACTGTAGGTGTCGTAATCCATTATCCTATATGTAAGTAAAAATAACCATAAGCACAATTCAAACTAAGATACCCAATGTATTGACCTAATATAATATACATTCAGAAGTCTACAGCTAAACTATTTATGTGCATAACAAAACTTCTTTACTATCTTCAATTAGTTTTATTTGGAATAAAAATATGTATTATAGTCACTTAACACTGATATCATCATAACAAAAATAGTGTCAAAAATAATATTCACTTTATTTCCACACAACTGTCATAAAGTATGGCACAATCTTCTATGAATATTAAATTTGAGACAAGTAAATAATAATATCTTTTACACAAGAGATGTCTAGCTTCGAGATCTGTTAAGCCTAGTAAGTCTTCTTTCTTCAACAGCTCGGGTATCCCACCTCAAGCATTCAGCTTCTTGTATTGCATACAAGTAACATTTCAGATATTATAGATTCAGGAGTACATACAAGTTATATAGGGGGGAAAAAAACATTAAAAATATTGTAAATTGAGAAAACATTTATCTCCTAAAAAAGAAATTGCAAACAAATATTCATCATATTTAAATACAAATTAAAAAAAAAAGCAATGTGGAAAACTATTTTCAGACATTTTATTACTTATCATAATAATCTAACCACATGTGATTACTCTAAATGTTACTGCCATAAATTCAACCCAGCTGATGAGTTCTGAATAGTGATTTGTGATATACAAAAAATATATATCTGTAGTGCTATTTCCATACACCTGTGCTTTCATATCTGTAATAGAATAATTCAAAACAACGTGTAAAAACATCTGCAGCCAAAAGTTATTCATTATTTATATTAGGCCTAACAAGCCTCCTTATTTTGTATGGTTAGGTATATCTTGCACCACTCAATTGATTCATGGTATTAATCAACTCTGATAAAAAATAAATCTGTGATTGAAGAATGTTTCTACTTTTAATGATTTAAAACTTACCTGATTTGTAATGGCTCATCTTGTAACTCTTCATCATCAACCTATAAAAAAAAAGGTTATTTCTTATAAGTCAACTTCAAATATTAAAAAGCAAAAACAAATACTTTTTATGCTTGAATCTTGTTAATTCCTCCATTTTTTTTTCAGTTTTGAAGATACCACCAAATAGTAAGAAGTTGTAACATATACCACAAATATCTGATGGTATCTGCAGTAATAATAAAAAATCTAGTATTTTCTTTAAAATCTCAGTGGTACATAAAATGACCATTTTAAGTAGAAGTTCAATATTTCAGGTAAATAGAAGTAATTATTTTAGATTATAACAGTTATAATAAAAGGAGTAGCATGTATTAGCAAGAAAAGAATGCTTCATATTAAGATTGAAGAAAAAGAGATGCTGATAGATAGTGGATACTTGAATGGAATGTCTTTCCTCACTGAGTCAAGGAAGTAAGCACTCATTTCACATAATAAGTATGCAACATAGTATCAGATGCACATACTGAAATGCTACAAATATTTACAAAAAGAAAGAAAAGAGGGGTGCTTTTAAGTCTTGAAACTTGCATAAGTATTAAGTTTTATTTTCAGAAAGTTGGAAATTGTGTACTTTTGACAATAGACATTTCTTGCAAAATATATTAAAAAATAATTTGTTAATCAAAAAATCCTCACACACAAATACATTACATGACTAGTTTCAGCCTTAGACCCACATGTGACAGATAGGTGAATACTTATTTCGTTGTTAAAAGTAAGTTATTAACATTCAATATGCAAACGATAGTAAGTGATATGAAAAGAATACTAATGATATTAACTAGAAACAATACATGTTTTTTTTGTCAACAGAATTAAAGTTTTCCTTAATAATTTCTATGGTGAATAGTACATTAAAAAAATTTCATTATAATGATCAGAAGGATAATATAAACCAAAGAACTGGCATTCATCTGTTTTCTTTGAATCTCTCACTTATTCCATAACCCTTTCCCTTATACACTGGCATGTTTCCCCAAGATAACTTTGTACTGAAATGCATGCAATGTAATTGTTATCTGAACAAGAGATAGAACTAAGAACTGATTTAACAAGGAAAAAGTTAAGTGTGGGGGCCTAACTTTTCTTTTAGCCTTACATTCAACTTTCTGTGCTTTAGGATATGTTTAACTTTATGACTAAGGTTGTCATTAACAAAATATAATGACATGGGGATTTTTCTTTTGATGAAGATTTACCAGACAACTACACAAGTTGTGTACCAACTGTGCTGAGACAATGTGGGTTCAAGCATTCAACTCCTAACCCTTAACTGATTCTCTTTTAGTTGCTGGTGAGTTTTATATCGATATTTGTAGTTTGCCTGATAGATGGAATATCCCCAACACATTTGGGTGTTATGACCACAGGTATTATCCATTATGACTTACGGATGATAACAAGGAATGATAATGGAGGCATAATTTTGAATTTCAATTTTATAATATTATTTCTAGTTTCTTATATATATATCTAAACACAGAGAGAAAGAGAGTATTAACTTATGATATCCCTTGCAAAGAAATTTCTTTGATTTTAGGAATGGAGCTAGTTAAGCCACAACTGGGCCTTCCGTCAAGAAATGTTAAGGAACTGAGCAGTAGACTTATTAGGTGCACAATCATTGTTTTCAGTCTGATCTTCCATCATGGAGCTACTGAATGAACAGTATATGCAGGAACAGAAGTGATATTTCCTTGTTAACTTTTGATGTTGTGCAGTGAAATAATATTAACAGGCACTATGCAGTGTATTGGTGTTGCTCAAGACATTTACAGATGTCATTTGGACATTCAGAAGAGGCAGATATTCTGATAATTGCATTATTAACTTGGCAAAGTAATAAAATGTTACATAAAACTTAAAATTTCTCATGATACTAGTTGTATTAACTTAGAACCTATTTATTGAATTAAAAGAACTACACATTTTCTGAAGAAATATTTAAAAAAGTGAAGCAAGTCATTTAGCCGGAGTAGTATTAACACTGACTAGCTGTTTCTACTTACCTCAAACCTAAACCACTCTGAATTCCACTGTGGATTCAGTGATCTTCGACATACTTCTGTCTTGAAAGTCGTGTTTCCAAGTTTCACCTAAGTCAAGATGAGAAGGATTACACATGTAAATAAATAACTTACATAACAGTCATTGAACACTTCATAAATTTCTAATTTGGTTTTTATATCTAGTTTTAAATAAATTGGCATGATATGTCTATGCATCTTCATTTTGGAGCAATGTGACTTGACATGACTGTAACATAAATCACTCTAATAATCTCTAAATATTTGTTATAATTCATACCTACAACCGCACTATAAAAAACATTCTCAGAACAGTTGTTATAAACCAGTTCCCACTGTGACAGAAGGTTATTCTCAGAAAAACTGACATAAATAGGTACCCACTGTGAGTGCAGAAGTTTTACAGTAAGTAATCATCACTTTGCTTCCTGTTTTGATCAACTTCTGCTTGACACTCACGAGGACATGTATGAATTACTGAATCATGTAGCCATAGGAAATGTACATTTGTCATAAGGAATACCTGTTCAGATTTGGAATTCTAATACATGGATTTATAAATAAGTTTCCTGTTTTGAAGATCTTTCTACATAAAAAAATAATCCATATCTGTCAATTTACAGATTAATGAGAGTTAATTGTAATCAAGTTGAGTACTGATAAAAAAGTAAGAAAGCAAAAGCTGAGAATCAATTATAATTTAAATTGTTTTGCTAGTTGCTTTATACATCATGAAAACAGTTAATACCCGTGTTTTCTAAGTAAGTATTACTGTTTTACATATGTATACTTAAATTACGAAAACATTTATCTAATTTAATTTGGATTTACCTACTCAAACTAAAGACCATAAAACAATGGTATTGAAGTATTTCAAAGAAAGTGTGTTATCATTAATTGATGCTTTAATCTTTTTCTGTACTGTCCAGAAAAAGTTAAAGTGTTATACAGCTGTTTAATAACAGTTAGAGCTGGAGAATTAGTGAAGCTTGGTAACACATTAATTATTGGACTCATTTCCCATTGACTGCAGATTTTCTAAATGCACACAGAATTTTTGCAAGCTGTACACTCAAGTTCAACTGCCAGAGGCAGACCGTAACTTATACAGTGAATCAGCAGTCAATGGGTTAAAAGATTACATTCAACTTATAACTATTGTCATCTTAGACTTGGATAGTTGGAATAATAAAAAATAGTAATAATTGGACACACTAAATATGATCAGTTTACAACTTTCATGAGTTGTGACACCAATCATTAAAATAAACAGCCCTGAATTAATGGAAAATAATTACAAGAAATCATAATGGCAATATTTTGATTATTTGAACAAATGGAATAGTCAGAAACATTAATTTTGATTAGTTGATTATTTTTAAGACATCCAATTCAATTGTACTATTAATAGAGCTGTGCAACTAACTCAATTAATAGTGCTGTGGCCATTCTCAAAAAGAGGCCTAGAAATTGGAGGTACCCCTCCCTATGGTAGAATAAAACACAACCATATTTTTTTTAATGCATTGGTATGTTAGAAGTATGAAATGGATGGTTGTGAAAAAAATAACCTGTTTTCACATGTATTTATGCATGGATATTCATAGGTATCTTAGATGAAAAAGATGTGCTGCTGAATGCCACATCGAAAAGCATGAAAATTGTATAACTCTGTCAGTTCTTGTTATATCATAACAAAACGTGTACTGATATGAAGTTTGAAGTAGGGCCTTTGTTATTTAACAATATTTAACTGACCGGCATTTCATATCAACTCATACAAGGTTTATTATTGGTGTTTTAATAAACTATTTAATATGTATATATCTATACCAAAGTTGACAAAAGACTGGCTTTTCATAAGGCAGAATAAATCATAAATATTGCAGTGATATGATAAAGATTTCAATGTGTGGAAGAAATAACTAAGGTATAACATACATTATACCTCACTTAAGAAACTGTTTTTTGTGTATTTATTAGGATAATGCAAAGTAAATTTATATATACTGATTAATTACCAATCATTTCATTTCAGTGTCTTTTTTTACATGTTTTATGAGTGTCTTTCATCTTACTTGCTGCTTATTCAAATCAGGAATGGCTTGATCAAACTAGATTAACATGAACTGTAATCCAGATTGTAGTGAATTAGTTAACCTGGAGTGTTTTTTTTTTATCTGTTGTGCTTTCAGGTAGGTTGACCAGGGTTTTACATAAATGGGTGAAAAATGGATTCAGAACCACCAGATAAAAAATTATCTGATTTTGTCTGTGTTGATGCCATGAATGTAGTCAATACACTCAGGAAGTCTTCAACAATGGAAGAATATGAGGAGGATGTTGCACTGACTGAGTTGGCCTTAACAAGGAACCAGCTGGATGAAGGGCAAGTACTACACATGGCTGCAGCCATACTAAGAAAGTTATTAAAGATACTGACACGTACATTCCAAGCCTTCAGACTTCAACATATGACAAAGAATATCCAAGGGAATATAAGTCATCAATCAGCTGTTTGCCTCCGAAGACATGATAAACTCTCAGTGTAAAACCCAGTGTTATTGGCATACACACACACATGTTGGCTCTGGCTTATGATGTTATGACAAACAGAGATGACTTTAAGATTGTCTTTCTTTGTGCTTTCACCAGAACAACTTGATACATTGTCAAACGAACTTTTGTTGACAAACCACATTATAAAGCCATACAGCTCATCTGGAACATATTTAGCACATGGACTGATGCTGATGTCAAGGCTTGGAGTGTATGTGTGATGCCCTGCAATGCTTTTTGATGCATCATTCAGCAGTACATCTTTTTCATCTAAGATACCTATGAATATCCATGTATAAATACATGTGAAAATGGGTTATTTTTTTCACAACCATCCATTTTATACTTCTAACATACCAATGTGTTAAAAAAATATGGTTGTGTTTTGCTCTACTGTAGGGAGGGATACCTCCAATTTCTAGGCCTCTTTTTGAGAATGGCCACAGCACTATTAATTGAGTTAGTTGCCCAGCTCTATTAATAGTACAATTAAATGATGATGATGTACACAGATTTCTAGTTAAAGCTCCAATCTTTCTTGATAAGTCTTTCAGCTACACCCATGTAGCTTACTGTATCAGTAAAAATAATGGGATTGTATGGACTTTAGTAGGGAGGGAGAGAGGTTTCTTGAAGCAACTCATGATGGTTTCCTATACAAAATGGTTAGAAATCAAGCCAGAGAGAATGTAATTTTAGAGTTACTTATAACCAATAATGAGTATTTAGTTGCAAGAGTTAAACTAGGTGAACATTTGGAAAAGAGCAATCATTACATAATTATATTTGATGTTTAGTTAAATGTCAAGATATATAGAATTGAAATTTTAGTTATCAATTTTCAGAAAGCCAATTCTGAAGCAATGAGAATACATGTATCATTAGCGAATTGGGATAATGACTTAAAAAGTGATGAGGGACAGATCTGGGAAATTCTTAAAAATAAATTGCTTTTAATTCAAGAAAAACACATTCCTAAAAACAGGAAAAGGATAAGAGGGAAAAGCATTACCAAAAAAAAAAAAAAGGATAAAATAAGGGATGAATGTCCTAAATTTAAACTGAGAGACAGGCTGGAAGACTTCCAGAGCTATAGGAAGGTTAGGAATTTGGTCAAAAAGAGATTAGGATATTCAAAAGGGCTTATCAGAAATATCTAGTTGAAAGTGCTAAAATCAGCAACAAGGATTTTTTTTTCTAAGTATGCTAAAAGTAAACATAATGTCAAATGGGAACTGGGCTTTTGAAGGATGCTGATGGCAAGGTTTTTGTCAAAGACTGCGATGGACGATCTTTTAAATGTTCTTTTCTGTTTGTACAAGAGAAGGTATCAGTAATATTCTTGACCTTGTGATAATGTGTCACACAAAAGATTAGCTAAGAAGATCACATTATTAGGTGTTGGGAAAGCACAAGTTAATTGGACTGTAAGGTGGTTTCATGAGAGAAATTAAAAGGTTTTTATTAATGGAGTTCAGTCAAACTAGACCCTTGTTATTAGTGGAGTACTTCAGAAGTCAGTTCTTGGGTCTTTGCTTATTTTTCTTACTTAATTATACTGACAAGAGCATAATTAGTAAATTAGTGAAGTCTGTTTATGATATTAAATTCTTGAGTATTTCTAGTTGTATCAACGATGTTGGGGTATTACAGAATGACTTGGATCAAGTGGTAAGTTGGATAAATACTTGGCAAATGTCCTTTAATTAAAATAAGTGCAAGGTAATCCATTTGGGTTATCATAAGTTGGATCACATGTTTAATATAAATGGGAATCCACTCAATAGTGTGATTGAAGAAAAGAATCTCGACAGAGTGGTATATGAGTATCTCAAGCCATCAAGGCAATATTCTGTTGCTGATAGCAAAGCTAATAGAATTTATGGTATATTTATAGACATGTTGGCTACAAGACAAATCACTAGTTAGACCTAATATTCTTATCTAAAAAGAGATATTGACTTATTGGAAATGGTTCAGAAGAGAGCTACTAGAATTATTCCAGGGATGAAACAGTTATTTTATAGGGATAGAGTATGATCTCTTAGCTTACTTTCTCTACAGAAAAGAAGAATAAGAAGTGATCTTATTGAAGTTTACTAGATTATCTTTGAGATTGTCTGTACTCTGATGCAGGTCTGTACTCTGCCTGCTCACTGTAGGTATCTAAATCTGATTTTTAGTGTTATGTTCTTTTGTCTTTTTTAGCCATCTCATGTGATAATAATCAATTAGTTACATGTATTCAATTTGTTTCTTGGATGATTAATCAATTATCAAATTTCACCAATTGCCTAGCTATAGTCTTCTCATCTTGTTATTTTTGGAATAGAGTACAAAGAAACCTGAGGCCTTTATCCTAGTAAAGCATCTTGAATCAAGTAAATAACATATGACCTGAGAACTGGTTAAGTGTCAAGTACAGGGAATCATTTCACTTGCAATATGTGAACTTACTGTAAACCTTTTTTCCACAGATAATATTTCAGGTGGATAGGATAAATAAATAATCTATTCTAAGTGATTGAAATCTCCCATCTTCACTTAATTATACTGATGCTCAGTTACATGTATTTTTTGTCAGCTTGACTATATACAGGTATTTTAAGAAATACTTAGAACTCAAGAAAGCAACAAATAGCTGTTAAAATACCTAATAATTATAGCTAAATGCATCAGAGGCCCACAAAAGATTGATCATGTAGAACAAAACATGCCTAGGGTATTAGCTTTCATGAAATTTGTTATAAGGCAAACTGAGATAAATATCAAACAAAATGTTAAGAAATTAATTGTGAGAACTTAATTCTACAGTTCTTTAAATGATAGTTAAACACATTCAAATGATATTTGAATATATATACACAGAGAGTATCATCAAAGATGTATTACAAAGCATTACTACACCTTCAAATATACAAATATTTTAAAATTAATGAATTTCAGCTATAGTTTAAATACTTAATTGACTAGAATCACTACCATTTGGGAAAGAATTATCTTTAATATAATCAATATTAATTTACCTAGTAATGTTTAATATTTCCTAGGAAAAACACTTTTTCTCAGTTACGTTATAATTTTGTTTACCTACAACCTTCATGAAATCAAAGTTTTCAATCTTCTCAAGAAATGTCCAAATTTAGAGTTTTTGGATATGATAGATTAAAAATGAATAAGTAAAATATAAAATGAAATAATAGGAAAACTAACACATATTTTCACATATTTTATACCTGAAAATTCAATGGCCCATTAACATCTTGCTCTTTTATGTTCTTAATTAATTTTTCATAGTTGAGATAACTTAACCATTCAATATTTAATATGTATGCAATAGGTGGTAACATGTATGTTGATCATTATATTTATGTTTACAAAAACTTAAAATAATACACAATAAATAGATATTAACAAAGAAGTTGACCTTACCTCAACATAAGCATCTGAGGTATCACTGGTGCGGTCCATAACGGGGAGATTTCTCCCTGCTAATATACGAACCTTTACTTTTGCTGGCATTTTTTACCACATGCTTGACAACCTTTAAAAATGAAATGCATTACTTTTGTTTTTCAATGAAGCTTTTATAGAAGCTGAATTTTAAACAAACACTCTAATTATATTACTACTATATTTTGTTGTAAACTACACAAAAGAAATTTAAGTCTGTCCTAATTTTTTGTATGTTTTGTAACAAAATACATTGTTGAAGGATGGGGAAAGACCAGTAAATTGAACTGTATGCTGGGTGGGTGATGAAAAGCAAAAATAGTTATTAATATAATCCAGTCAAATTGAACTCTTTCTTACTTGTGGAGCACCTTAGGGGCCATTGCTATTTTTTTCCTTGTTTACATTAATTATATTGACAGGCTCATAGTTAGTAAATTAGAAGTTTGTGGATGACATTAAATGCTCAGATATTTCTAGTTGCACGGAGTATGGTTAGGTACTACAAAATAACTTCATAAAATCTGAGGATACATTTATGGACTAACTGATCATAAGTTAAAAGAAGTTATTTTAGAGGTAGTATTACTGCACAATTCTGCATTATATAACTAGAAATTTTAATAAAACACAAAAAATAATAGCTCTGTGTTTTTAAAATGCAGATGTAACAAGACCTATTGGTTTAAGTTACGTTTTCTATGTAACTCAACATGAAACATGTTCCACTGCTACAATCATCCTCTTAAAAAAGCCTTAGAAGTTAGACACCTTTAACCAAAAGCCATAGGAGTTCAATAACATGGAAGGGTGCTTAACCTGATCAAATTATCATAGTCAGTAAACGATTACATTCCAACATAATATTCTCATAACTAGTACTAGTAATGGTATTAGTTTGTTTTCACCTCCAACCATAAGAGAAAAAAAAAAAGGGGGGGGGGTATTTTAATTAGGCCTAAATCGCATAACTAATAATTACAACTGCAACTTATCAAGTTGAAATAAACTTAGTCAACTTACACTTTAGTCATTACCGAGATAGTAGTACCTTCATCTCGGTCACTATACTAATAGTAATACTAGTATTACTATTAGTACATGTGTAGTTATTCAATTTATTTAAGTTATTGGCTTATGCACACACTCTAAAATTATATGATAGAAATAAAGTTATTATTGTATGATCTCATTTCGTTTATGATTAATATATTAAAGGTATCATTTTGTCCATAAATTTTGAAGAAAGCATGCATGCAAAATAGTTTTTTTAAATCAATCTAAACATTACCCTCACACATCCATCGATGATACGCTCAAAAGCCCTCTGTACTAATAACGTAAAACTAAAATTTTGAACATATTCTATAGCCGTAAATTATACGTACAAGGAAACGCGTTTGTCTCAGATCTTCCCTTTAAATCGGCTTATTAACTCTCTGAGTTGCTAGAAAAAATCTTTGCCATTTTTATATTCTCGTGAAAAATAACACTACAAAAAAGGCAATAATAATAACTTTCGATCAGAGTGAGCTATTTGCTTACAGCGAAACTCCAAACCAACTGGCCATCGGGTTGTGTGTGTGCGTGTTTTTTGTTGTTTTTTTATATACAGCAAAGCCACATTGAGTTATCTGCTGTGTCCACCGAGAGGAATCGAACCCCTGATTTTAGCGTTGTAAATCCGTAGACCTACCGCTGTCTCAGCGGAGGACTGGCCCGGCATGGCCAGGTGGTTAGGGCGCTCAACTCGCAATATGAGGGTCGCGGGTTCGAATCCCCGTCACACCAAAAATGCTCGCCCTTTTAGTCGTGGGGGCGTTATAATGTG